AATGGAATATTACTCAGCCATAAAAAGAAACGAAATTGAGCTATTTGTAATGAGGTGGATAGATCTAGAGTCTGTCATACAGAGTGAAGTCAGAAAGAGAAAGCCAAATACCGTATGCTAACACATATATATGGAATTTAAGAAAAAAAAATGTCATGAAGAACCTAGCGGTAAGACAGGAATAAGGACACAGACCTACTGGAGAATGGACTAGAGGATATGGGGAGGGGGAAGGGTGAGCTGTGACAAAGCGAGGGAGAGGCATGGACATATATACACTGCCAAGCGTGGGGTAGATAGCTAGTGGGAAGCAGCCGCCTAGCACAGGGATATCAGCTCGGTGCTTTGTGACCGCCTGGAGGGGTGGGATAGGGAGGGTGGGAGGGAGGGAGATTCAAGAGGGAAGAGATATGGGAACATGTGTATATGTGTAACTGATTCACTTTGTTATAAAGCAGAAACTAACACACCATTGTAAAGCAAGTATACCGCAATAAAGTTGTTAAAAGAAGAAGAGACACAGAAGGACACTACATAATGATCAAGGGATCGATCCAAGAAGAAGATATAACAATTGTAAATATTTATGCACCCAACATAGGAGCACCTCAATACATAAGGCAAATACTAACAGCCATAAAAGGGGAAATCGACAGTAACACATTCTTAGTAGGGGACTTTAACACCCTATTTTCACCAATGGATCATCCAAAATGAAAATAAATAAGGAAACACAAGCTTTAAATGATACGTTAAACAAGATGGACTTAATTGATATTTATAGGACATTCCATCCAAAAACAACAGAATACACATTTTTCTCAAGTGCTCATGGAACATTCTCTAGGATAAATCATATCTTGGGTCACAAATGACGCCTTGGTAAATTTAATAAAATTGAAATTGTATCAAGTATCTTTTCTGACCACAACGCTATGAGACTAGATATCAATTACAGGAAAAGATCTGTAAGAAATACAAACACAAGAGCCCGGGTGGCTTGGTGGCTGGAGTGGTGGTGCAGCCGCCTAGTTCTCAGCCCACCCCGCACGGTTCCGGCGTAGGCTCCGGCGGGACCCTGGGCAGGTCTGCGCCCTATTCTCCGGTGTCAACCTCGTGCTGAATCTTGAACCTGTGAAATACCTTCTTAATTACATCTGAGAAAAGGATCCTGATTGAATCAGTGCTTTACACTATAACTCAATGCTCTCCATGAAGCTGAGATATGCCCACTGTTGAGAGTGAAGCAAACGTGAAGACCAAAGTTCGCTTTGAGGAATTGCTTAAGGGCCATGATGATCTAATACGTGAAAGAAAAAAACTGAAGAAAAAAATTGGCAAATCTGGAGAAAAATTCTCATTATTGGAGTGTCGTCACAAGTTTTATCGATTGCCACTACATTTGTGGTTCCGAGAAAATAAATTTGCATTTGCCCCATTTTGACATAATGGAAATTCAAGGTTATTAGCTTGATGCAGTTAGAAGCAATCTTCAGGAAATCAGAGAAACTAAAAGTGATGATATAAGTGCTGCTAACACTAAGAACCCAGGGAAGAACATGCAAGTCACTAAAAACAAACCAAGAGATCCGCAGCCAGCAACTGAAGATCCAGATAATGATGTTACTGTGGAGGATGACAAGCAAGAAAAGGCAAATAAAAAGGTTATAAAAACAGCACCCCAGGTGACAACACAAGAAGTGGAGCAGGAAGCTCCTGAGAAGAAGGCGGATGCAACACCCCAGAAAGCATGGACCAAGCCACTGCCAGGTGTCACTCGTGAGAAAAGTGAGAAGGCCAAGGAAGGAGAAAATAGTTTAGATGAGGAAGAACTGATGCAGGTATACCAGCTCCAAGTAGCTAAAGAAATGGCAAAGGAGATTAAGAAGAAAATCCCAAAGAAACTCAAGGAGCAGTTGGCTTACTTTCCCTCAGAGACTTCCTTTCCTTCAGATACTTCATTGTGTGATGACAAATTGAACGGTGTAAAAAGAAAAAAAAGAAAGTTCCAATCCTGTCTAAATCTGAAACAAGTACATTGATCATCTCTGATGACCCTGTTGAAGGTGAGCAAAAGAAGGAATCTCCAGTTGGAGCAGTTACTTCAGATTCTCATCAAGATGATGAAATAAGCTCAAAGGAACAAAATGTAGTAGCCAATGTGCAAGACGATGCAAAATCCAAACTGAAAAAAGAGAAGAAGAAGGCTAAAACAGTTTCAGACGTTAATGAAGGCACTGATGGTGATGGTGTTCATGAAATAACAAGCCGAGATAGTCCAGTTTATCCCAAATGTTTGCTTGATGATGACCTTGTCCTGGGAGTTTACATTCACTGAACTGATTGACTTAAGTCAGACTTTATGATTTCTCACTCGATGGTGAAAATTTTTGTGGTTGATGAGAATACTGGTCAATATGTCAAGAAAGATGACAGTGAACGGCCTGTTTCATCTTACTATGAAAAAGAGAATGTGGATTATATTCTTCCTATCATGACCCAGCCATATGACTTTAAACAGTTAAAATCAAGACTTCCGGAGTGGGAAGAACAAATTATATTTAATGAAAACTTTCCCTATTTGCTTCGAGATTTTGATGAGAGTCCTAAAGTCATCCTGTTCTTTGAGATTCTTGATTTCTTAAACATGGAAGAAATTAAGAACAACTCTGAAATTCGAAACCAAGAATGTGGCTTCTGGAAAATCGCCTGGGCATTTCTCAAGCTTCTAGGAGCCAATGGAAATGTAAACATCAATTCGAAACTTTGCTTGCAGCTGTATTACCCACCCACAAAGCCTCCATCCCAATCAAATGTCATTGAGGTTTTTGAGTGGTGGTTAAAATGTCCAAGAAATCGTTATCTATCAATGTTGTATGTAACTGTAAGAGTATTAAAAGTTCCAGAATGTATAAAGCCATCTTACCATTCTATGATGGCTCTTCAGGAAGAAAAGGGTAAACCATTGTATTGTGAACAACACCATGAGGCACGTTCAGTAGACACAGAACCTGGATTAGAAGATTCAAAGGAAGCGGTGAAGTGGAAACGACTGCCTGGGCAGGCCTGCCGTATCCCAAACAAGCACCTCTTCTCACTAAATGCAGGAGAGCAAGGATGTTTTTTCTTGCTTTCTCCCACAATGGAAGAATATTAGCAGCAGCCTGTTCCAGCCGGGATGTGTATCCAATTATTTTATATGAAATTCCTTCTGGACGTTTCATGAGAGAATTGTGTGGCCACCTCAATATCATTTATGATCTTTGCTGGTCAAAAGATGATCGCTATATCCTTACTGCATCATCTGATGGCACTGCCAGGATATGGAAAAATGAAATCTTAATACTTGTTTTTAAATTTTTACATTGAATTATTTCTTTAGTTCCAGAGTAACAGTGTCATTACTATGTGACTATATATTTTGAAGTGAGACGTTATAAAATGGGAAAGTTCATCTCTTTGTTTTTCACTTGACTCTTCTTAAAATTGTGTGATTTTAAGTCTATCAATAAAATATTTAACTTCGGGGCTTCCCTGGTGGCACAGTGGTTGAGAGTCCACCTGCCGATGCAGGGGACGCCGGTTCGTGCCCCAGTCCGGGAGGATCCCACATGCCGCGGAGGGGCTGGGCCCGTGAGCCATGGCCGCTGGGCCTGCATGTCCGGAGCCTGTGCTCCGCGACAGGAGAGGCCACAGCAGTGAGAGGCCCGCGTACCGCAAAAAACAAAACAAAACAAAACAAAAAAAACATTTAACTTCAAGAAGGTCAAAAAAAAAAAAAAGAAAGAAACACAAACACATGGAGGCTAAACAATACACTACTTAGTAACGAAGTGATCACTGAAGAAATCAAAGAGGAAATCAAAAAATAACTAGAAACAAATGACATGGAGACACGACGACACAAAACCTATGGGTTGCAGCAAAAGCAGTTCTAAGAGGGAAGTGTATAGCAATACAATCCTACCTTAAGAAACAGGAAACATCTCAAACAAACAACCTAACCTTGCACCTAAAGCAATTAGAGAAAGAAGAACAAAAATCCCCCAAAGTTAGCAGAAGGAAAGAAATCATAAAGATCAGACCAGAAATAAATGAAAAAGAAATAAAGGAAACAATAGCAAATATCAATAAAACTAAAAGCTAGTTCTTTGAGAAGATAAACAAAATTGATAAACCATTAGCCACACTCATGAAGAAAAAAAGGGAGAAAACTCAAATCAATAAAATTAGAAATGTAAAATGAGAAGTAAAAACTGACACTGCAGAAATACAAAAGATCATGAGAGATTACTACAAGCAACTCTATGCCAATAAAATGGACAACCTGGAAGAAATGGACAAATTCGTAGAAATGCACAACTTGCCAAGACTGAATCAGGAAGAAATAGAAAATATGAACAGACCAATCACAAGCACTGAAATTGAAACTGTGATTAAAAATCTTCCAACAAACAAAAGCCCAGGACCACATGGCTTCAAAGGCGAATTCTAGCAAACATTTAGAGAAGAGCTAACACCTATCCTTCTCAAACTCTTCCAAAATATAGCAGAGGGGGGAACACTCCCAAATTCATTCTACGAGGCCACCATCACC